CTTTATCTCTCTTTCCCAGACTTTTCCAAGAACTCAAGAATCAACAAACCCTGTGGTCAGAATGGTCAAAAGGGCTCTTTTGATAAGTGATAAAACATCATGAAAACTTTTGGAACAGTGTTGAGCCCTGATACATGTATAAGTGGCATGCGGCTAGGAAATAAAGCTTGCCATAACAGGCATGTGTCATTTGAAAACCTGTTCCACGCATTCCATTTTAAACCCACAGGTAACAAACTATTATTGCTCGCAGAGATTGAAAAACATCCTGTCCAATCGCGCACGACTAATAGAATATTTTTACCAGGCAATTAAATTTTCATAGACACTTGCCCATTCCAATGGGTAGGAGCCCTGGCAAGGATATAGTGGAGTTATATATGTAGCTAAGAAGGCTTTTTAATTAGTCAAGCCACCTTCTCAACTGCACCTTCAAACCCCACATCATGGTTTGAGCAAGTAGTGGTAAGCTCTTTTTCAGTCACTGAAATTGGTCAGGAACCGGCTCTTTGTGACACCCAGGCAAGTCATCTTCTAATGATATTGACTCATAAGAAAAGTAAACTACAACAAGCATGCAACTGCCTGGGACAAGCAAATTCGAGAGCTGCAATTAAATATTCTTTCTCATTCCCTGAGAAGGGTTTGTTGTACATGTATGTGCATGTATCGGTGACTCGCAACCCTAGAAGAGCTTCTGCTGTGTAAGGACTTAAGTATAAAAATTTTCCAGAAATTTAAGGTTCTGAAATTGTGTAATTTACAACTATACACAATATGTTTGAAACATTCTTTTCTTCCCTGAAATTGTTGCTTAGGAATAAAAATTTTCCTTCATTAATTTCCATCCTTAACATGTAAAAGCGGTTTTACATCAAGAAGTAACAATTTTGTGGATAAATATTCCGTTACATCCAAAACTTCGGAAGTTAACTGTTTAATAACTTGTCTCGAAGAATCCCCAAATAACCCAACAGTCAACAAGAAACGCTAGGCGTGAAGTTATTTACAGAAGCATGTTTAAAACAAACGATTTCCAAGCAGAAATGAACAGCAAACTATTCAATACTGTTCATATACATTTCAAAGTGTTAGCTATAGTATTGGATTTATTGCATGTACATTTCGAAGATGGATCACGCACAACCACAGTACAATCACCACTTGACACAGCGAAAATATGAATCCGTGGGAGATTTGGAATAGAAAATAAACTAGAGAGATCTCCATGAATCTTGCCATTACAAACTATTTCTTTTCTGTACCTCTGCTTTCAAATGCTTTACCGTTCTATTACATGTTCGAATTTCTCGAAACATGTATGTGACGGGTTTTGTTTTTCAACAAGCGAACAATTCCACCAGCGACCTAATTTTAGCTACAGTTTCGAAGTTATATGGACAAAAATAGCGTCTTCCACAAAACTAAAAGCATTGAGCTTGCGAAACAGTTCTCTCTCTCTCTCTTTCGGTGAAGAAGGTCTGCTTTTCGGAGGAGAATTAATTTCAGGTTGAATGACCAGTCAGCTATTCAAGCACCAACTGCTTGAGAAGTTTGAACTCGAGCAGCTGATAATGTACTAACGATCACTCTTACCTTTAACTCGCGATGATGAAAATCCTTTTCACTACAAGCTCTTATCACTCCAACCTTCCACTGATATCCCAGTGGGTTGGACACACGGCTAGATCTAGAGTTTGGCCGAAGAGAATTTTTCTCCCTGACACACAAAAAGCGCTTTCCAACCAACTCAGCCTGACGGAAAGCGTACATTGTTTTTTGCGCTCTCCATCAACCACGCAAATCTTTTGGAGACGCATGAACTTCCATGACAATAAGCCAAAGCGGTAGATCAATGAAAGGATTCTTCCTGACGAAGCACCAGCGTTTATATACTAGTACAAACACCTCAACAAAAGCGCCAACTAGCAATGTCTAAACGCTCCGATCGGCCATCACAAATGCATGACTCTTAATAGAGCGTGCGCTGAGTTCTCGCTTAGATGTGCGGGCTCAAATTCCCAAATCCTCTGCTTAAGCATCACGGAAGCAGAACCTAGAAAATCCACAAGTACAAAATTTAAAAGTAGTGCTTTAAACATAAGCTCTTAGCTTTAAGGGGTGAGAAGAAGGTATATTCGTAAAATTAGTTTCCGTTTTATGCTTTTTATTCATTAAAATATAGCCATAGGATTATAATTATAAGTTAAATATTAACAAGTGTCGCTTAGTGATCCAACATCCTGTTGATCTAATACGAATTTCTTATCTTACCTTTTATCAAATTTCAACCAGTAAGTGACAAATGCGTCTTGATCTAACTATCTAGATTTTTAAAAATATGATGTTAGTTTCCAAAAAGAAGCTGTGTTTTGTTTGTTTGTTCGTCTGGTGGTTCAGACAAGTCTAACAGACAGCAGACCTAGGAAAATCCGAAAAATTGACGGACAAAACCAGATATGACTCGGGCGTTGAAGGTTTGTGTTGCGAGCCGAAATATCGGACAAATATAATTCACAATGTTTTTTTTTTCTTTCTTTCTCTATTTTTCCTATCACTCTTCCTGCTGCTTCCTGCCGTAAGGATCAGTTTACTGTTCTAATTTTAAAATTTGGTACTGGGCGACTTGTGCACCTGAGATCCGTCCAGAGTTTTAACGTCATTTCGCCCCGGTTTCTTAGCCCCCTATTTTAGAACGTGGAATATTTGAAGAGCACTTGTTTTGGTTTATGGCTTATACAACGCGGAATATTACTTTTTATAAAATAACTAAGATAGTACGCGCGTTCTGATTAGTCAAAAACTATGGTTTATTGCGCCGGTAAACTTTATTTTATAAAAGCAATAGACTACAGTTTCTACATGGGTTTACCGGCGTGATAACCCACTTGGGATGTTGGCAGAATACTAGAAAAGCTTGTAAATCACTCACCTTCACCTCGTGCTTTGCACGCTTTTCTCGATCGTGTTCTCCCAACATCCCACGTGGGTTATCACGTCGGTAAACCGTCTATTGCTTAATGAAGCGCACTAAATAACTCGAAGTAATTAGGGGGCTAATTAAGTTACCAGAGCGAAATGACCTGTTACCACCTAACCACTCTAGCCGATTTGTTTCAGCTATTTGTCTTCTTGAATGAAAACGGTCAAAATAAAACAGCCGTTAAGGCAAAGTGGCATGTACTGAAGGCAACGCCAAGGGAACGTTGCTTGACAAAGCAATTCTCGCATAGGAATTATGCCAGTCCTATGACTGAATTTTCATCAAGAGAACGAAAGGAAAATTAACCTTTACATCTCAAACACCGTGAACTGGCGCAGGTTGTTCAAACTTTGGATAGTGCTATCCATTGGATAAATCTCTATCCACTGGATAAGTATTAGGGAAACCAATTGCACTGTCCACTGGACAAAGACTTTTTAGCCGGTGGATAGCGCTATCCATCAGGCCCCAGTTGTTCCACCGGATAAATCACCATCCAGTAGATAGTGCAATTGATTTCCCTAATACGTATCCACGAGATGGTGATTTATCCAATGGATAGCTCGCTAGAGCGGTTTTCACTTGACTGTCGTAAAACCATAACCAAAGTAAATACACTAGCCAACCAAAGGGCGTAGTAAAACCAAAACCAAGCCAATTCCTCAATTACTTTCGACAGTTAAGTGAAAACCGCTCTATCCAATGTTTGAACAACCTGGGCCAGATAAATGACTATCCAGTGGATAAGGATTAGGGAAACCAATTGCACTATCTAGTGGATAGCGATTTATCCGGTGGATAGCGCTTTCCACCTTTTGAACAACTGGGGCCCTAAACAGCAACTTCGACCACAAAACAATAAAAGAAAAACCGACTTGAAATTTTAACTTCCTTTCTGAAAATGCAATTTCCTCTCAAGCCTTCAAAAATGGACCGTTTTCCGTGGGTCTTCGTTTTCCATATTGAGTACCCGGTTCCAAGCCTCCTCTTGTAACTCGGATAGCGCGAACTGGCCTGGGTACGAGCCTGCTGAGCCAGCTGCATGCCGGCGGAATTTTTCGGAAGTTTTCCTTTGGCGTGTAAATTGCAGATTTTGGTCTCATAGGGTTAAGTTTGAAAGTCACTAGACTTTCTAATTCAGGTATCGTTTAGGGAGGTGCAAGATGCCACGATGTTTGGTTTTAGGTAGCCTGTGAACAGGCTCTCTGTGTGGGGAAAGGGTGAAAAAATCGTGATATTTTTCCCCAAACAGAGAACCTGTGCACAGGCTAGTTTTTAGGGGTCAGTTTAAGCTTGAGTCACACCCAAATTAGTCTTCCTTAGCGTTTTAATTTTAATTCTCCGACGAGCAGCCTCATCACTTTTATATGGGAGTCAACCCGCGGGATCTGAGATGAGCTTGGCACAGGCCAGTTCGCGCCAGGAGCCGGTTGCAAGGTTATACCTAGGGTGCTTACCATTTACACGAACAACCTGGGTGAATAGCTTGTGCATAAACATAAAACGAAATTTAACGTGGTGGAAAGAACTACCCATTGCAATGTCAGTATCAGAATCAGCTGAACAGACTAAAAGAGTAGAAAAATATTGAATCCCCTCAAATCACAGCCCATATTTTCTGAAGCTCCCAAAACGGAATGGCACGAGCACTTTGATGTTCCAACCAGAATTTCTGGATTTCTGTAAATGGTAAGCACCCCTAGTCCGTGTTTTTTTCAGGGTAGGACATGTAATGTTACTCTATAGAGAGCCACGTATTCTCTTGTATACCGTTTGACCGCGTCAACCCAAATCGCTCATGTCTCTTGGTCAATTCTATTTTTCGTCGCATGTTGACTTGTTTCTGTAACTTTCATTCTTACTTGATATACCTCGACTGGTTCACATAGTAAGATCTGAGTGGCTAACATCAAACGTCTTTTGGGTAAGCCTGCTTTCCCATTCCAAGACTTTCAAACGACTGGTCCCAAATTAGAAAAAAATATCATATGAATCATCTTCAATTTTCCGTTTTCTTTTTATTCATTCTTTATTCTTTTTGTGGGCAAAAATACAAACTACTGAGTTAACAGTAACAGGCCATTTCGATTTCCAGAAATTCACTTTTAAAACGAGGTTAAGTGCAAAACCTTTGTTGTGAAAATAGGTTTTATTTGCATGAGAACAAAAAATCATTTTCATATCAACACCTTCGCACTTTAAAGCCTCGCTTTGAAACAGAGACTTATGGCAACTCGGCAATGGCCTAAACTTTTATTTTATTATTTTTTTGGAAAAAAGTTAGGATATCGTGACCAGAGCAATGTTCCTTTAAATTATGAGGTTCAAAAGTTTACACCTCATACAACTCTGTCTCATTCACTATGCACCTGTCTTCCACAAAGTACAACTCTCACACTAGTCATGTGCATGTTTCACGAACATAGATCTTGCTGATTGTAGAAACGTTCCTGAGCAAAGAACAAGTGATAGGTCCACTATCAATTTCATTCAAACTGTATTGCCAACATTTTCAACACTGTAGCAAGCCAAGAAGAAATCTGGCCTTCACCGAGCACTGCTTGTACCCTCGTCCAAGAGATCTTATCAAGGCTACTATCAGCTTCATGATTGTCAGAAGCCACACACATATAGTTTGTCCTTGTTTCGAGGCCGAGCTTGACTAGCCAAATTCTTCATGTAAGCTTGCTTATGAGGTCTGTTACAAGTTGTGCCAAAATGGTAACGTATTCTGGGTCTTCATGCCCTTCCTTTCTGTTCGCATCCTTAAGCCACTCTAACTTGAGTTTGTTCAGACTGTCATGTACTCGAGGCTGTTGGAACTCACTCTTGCACCCCTCTACCATCACGTGTAAAGCTTGTAACACTTTCTCTCTAGTGTCATTCTCTGTGGTGTGCAGAAGACTGGGTACAAGTTGACACCAGCCCTTCTCAGCCATTGTTTTTAAAAGAGGTACCCTGGGAACAAAATGAAATAATGTGAGCAAAGTGTCACTTGGAACTTAAGTTTTAGAGGATTACTTAGAATTACATTCCTGCAATAAAATATACATCCTTGCAGTACAGTGTAAGTTTATATTTAGGTAAGTTTATAAATTTTGCTTTTTGTTTTAGCTACTCCTGGTGCATAAATTGCAGCTTTAAAATACAGCAAATAGGAAAATCCATCTTTTCCTATAATCTTGGGTGTTTAACTGTAAATAAATGAAATAAAATGAAATAAATATGATTTTGGTGTCACAGCTGTAGCATGTCCACAAAGTGGCTGTTTATCTATCATACACCTGTTATTTCCAAGAGTTAAGTGTCAGAATAAACAAACAAACAAACAAAAACATTCAGTACCTGCCAGAGATGTCACCAGAAGTATCTTTGCCTTGTTTCTCTAACAATGCTTTCACATGTTGAATTTGTTCAGTAAGAATATCTGTCATGAGTGTGATTGCTTTGACAGCTAAAGCTCCGCTCCCAGTCTCCTCAAACAACATCTTAAAAATTTCAAGTCCATTTAACTTAAGAAAGTCTCTTTGTGCCATAGGAAAGAGTCTAATAAGAGATGACAGTGCATACATGGCCTTCTTCCTCACAGCCATGTTGTCTTGGTTGGACAGAAGGCGTAGAAGCAGTGGTAATGCACCTTGCTTCAGTGCAGCTTGTTGCACATTTGGATTACTGTTTCAGACAAAAATAGATTGACACAACATAAACAAATTAGATGCAATGTAGATAAAAAAAAGAACTTAAAAACAAGAGGCTTACATCTGTGTGGGCTTTAAAGAAGCTTATTTTTTAACTAGAAATGTGATACTCTTGGAGCCATCTTTTATTGGAAGCAAAAGAATGACTGGTATTATGTGGAAGGGAAGGGATTATGACCCCGGGGGGTGGACTCCAAATATGAAAAGGGGTAGGGACGCTCGTCGTCTCGCTTAGGGGGTGTAAATTTCAGATTTTGGTCTCACATAGGGTGTTCTGGGCAAAATGCCATCATATTTAGCCCTGAAGGTCTCGTTTAGGGTTGTACGCAAAAAGATATAAAAACATATATTTGATATGTATATTTTTAATTCGCTTTATTTACTCCATTCATATAACCCAAGTTTTCTCATTTGTCTGTGTTTTAACATGATCAAAAAAAGTTTGGGCCTTGCCCAGATTGGTCTCCTTTAGGGGATTAATTCAAAATTTCCGACGAGCATCCCCACCCCTTTCATATGCAGAGTCCCCCTCCTGGGATTATGACCAGCATTCAGAGGAAGGGGGATTTATGAAACCCTGTTTTGGCATTTTTCTGCAAATGATCGATTAAGCGCCACTACTCAAATAAGCGCCACTCTCGAATAAGCATTGCACCTTTACCGACAATAATTTAATAAGTGCTGCTCTCACATAAGCGACGCGGCGCTAAGTTGGGTATTTACAAATTAACACCCCACCTTTGTTATGGCGCTTGATATAAAGAGATATCAAAACCATATCGCTCAAGAAATAAGACCTCGACCAACTTGTGATTTCTAAAGTAGGAAACTCTTAAAACTGGGTTGAATTCAGTCATATAACAGTTTGAGATGTACGTATTTTATATTAAATTGTGCATACCTAGTAAACGCCTCACTTAATTCTCTCTATATTCCTCTCAGTGTTTTACCTGTAGTTGAAATAAGCGCCGCCCTCAAATAAGCGCCGCTTTCGTATTTAACCGCCTCAACTTTAACAGGGATAATGAAATAAATGCTTAATTGATCATTAATGGTACAAGTGATCCTAAAGCAGGATGTGTTGGGCTTTATAAAATAATATTATATGTGGCCATTCTTCCTCCATGCCAGGAAAGCATGGAGCAAACAGCACCAAAAGTCAAAAGTTGTTGTTTCACCCTGTTACATGGACCTACCATGACATTTATGACTAAAAATAACGACATTGTTGTAAGTGGATAAGTCACCTTTGTGTTGCTGATCCCAGTACATAAGTTGCCCGTGTTACCAAACTTGGGTCTGTAGAATTCATAAGTTTTATCACCAGAGTAAGTCCACCAATTGTGTCCAAATCTATTGCATTGTCAATCTGATGCACATAAAATTCAAGTTCATCCAAGGCATGCTCTTTTTCAGGCAGACTGGAACTTGTGCTGTTTAGTGTCTCAACATGTTTTTTGATTATCTCAATGTCTTTTTTGACAAATATGTCTGCTCCTTCTAACTCCTTTCGTATATCTTCAATAGATCTGAAATTCTTTTCTATGAAGCAAGAACAGAAGTATGATTGAATAATGTTAATTTTTTTTCAAGAGGTACAGCAACAAATTCTGCAATCTGATTGGCTCTTTGTGCAGTCTAGATTTTCCTATCTCGTCCCACAGTCACAGTAATGGCTTCTTTCACTTGTTTATTTGTTTTTATTGAATGAGCAAAAGCTGTGATTGCATACATTTTTTCCTTTAAAACATGACCTGCTCCTATTTTACCAGCAAAGATAAAATGAATTTTATTATTCCGAAAAATATCTGAAGGGGGAGAATCAAGCAAATCACTGAGCTGGGAAAACTGCTAAAGCAATGCAAAACAGGAGGCTTGTGACCTTGCTCCTACACTGTAAGTACTAAAATCTTGCCTTCATGCCGTTTATTCGATATTTTTGCTCTGCTTGTGACTCTGTTTTCCATTTTTGCTGTCTGAGTTCGGTTCTATCACTTTCATTGAATTTGGCTCTGTTAATTTTCTACTTTCAAAAGTTTGTTGTCAATAATAATTCTTTAAGCTTGAATAAACAACATGAACGACTTATTCAGCAGTCAATTATCATTGTTTTTCATTTGTTTCTTGAAATGCTTTTATTTGTTACCGAAATTTATTAATTTTAGCTTATGTTTTAAGGAAATTCAGACAAGAACAGAGGGTCTTTAACTTTGTTTGTTGGAGACAGGGTAATCCAAATCTGGATTTTCCAAATCTAAATTCCTTTTCTAAAAGTACAGAGGCCACAATTACACAAATTAACAGTAACATCAAGCGATAAACCTACTTGCATCCATATGTCTATTAAGTTGATCGGAGCTTTCTCCACCAGGACTTTCGTCGTGAAATTTGTCCCGGAAATCCTTTAAAGCTTCCTTAAGATGTTGCTTTGAAATGACATTCTTGTCAATTGTGATAAACTTTTGTTTGGAGTCCTTGTTACTCTGATATTTACTACCATCATCTCCATCCATGAGCTTAGCTTCTTTCTGTCCTGTCTGTAAGTTCATGCGCACATGGAGTCCAGGGGGGATTCCTTGACCTGGTTGGATTGTTTGCCATTCAGCTGTTGGTTGGAACACCTCAAGATCTTCATCATCAATTGATGATTCAGCATTTTTGGTTACTTCCACATTAACATCACTTCCCTTGGCATTGTCATCAGAGTCAACAAGGATGAGGCCTGGTTGTGGATCCCCAAAACCTAATATCAAAAGATAATAAGATCTTGTTGTTCATTGTTATTAATTAAATCGGTTACGCATGTTAACGTGTCCCCTAAATTCCCTGAAGGGTAGGCTTAAAAGTGCAGTGAGCACGAGATTTAAAATTCAGTTTTTTCCTAGCAGTTTAGAAGAAGTGAAGATTTATGAATAGAACTGAAAAATGGAGACACAATTCAGGCTAGTGTAAGTAGATGCTTTTTGAGATCGTTTTATCTTTTGAGCAAATTTCTCATCTCAGCTTGTTTTTTTCTTTTCATTCAATCAATCAATCTATCTACTGTACGTATATGCTTGTTTTAGTACCTGTACTTCTAATAACAAATTCACAAAAGTTGTGAACTGATGACAACATCCATTTCTATAAAAGGATCCCAGGGGCCCCACTCACATTTTTTAATGACGGGGGGGTCCGACTTTGGTTCATATTTTATACCCAAAAAAATCCCAACTTCAGAATTTGTCTATCCAAAAAAATCCCTACTTTTTTTAGCATACCCAAAAAAATCCTTCAGTGTTTTTGCATCAGCAAATTTTATTATTTATCTTCTGGAAAGCTAAAACATGCCAACTTCAACTTTGGTTTTGGTCAAAAACAAAACTACAAATTGCGCTTATGTTATTGTTGATTTGAGCTGATGAAAAATATAATACCCCAAAAAATCCCTGCGTTGTTTTCGCGACCCAAAAAAATCCCGGCGTCGTTCATAGACCCAAAAAAATCCCTTTCGGCCGAAATGTCAGACCCAAAAAAATCCTTCGGACCCCCCTGTCATTAAAATATGTGAGTGGGGCCCCTGGGAAAAGGATTTACACTGGATTTACATGTGATGATAGAATGAAAACAGCCATTCATACATCAGTTCCCGAATAACGTGGATAACTTAATCATGCCACTTTTTTTTATGAAAGCAACAGCTGTAAATGTAGATCAGCTGCATTTGCTACTTTTACATTTCCACATCACACTTGCATAAGCATTGTTTCCAATAATTACTCTTGGGATTTACAATCCTCCCAAGAGAACTTGAAAACAATACTTACGCAAAATTTTTTGGGGTAAACAAGGTGTATTATGGTTAATGTTAGCCTCCCCGCAGACGTCCTTTGGGGTTTGTTTGTCACGCATTCATTTCTCCCCAACGAACCCCAAAGGACGTCTGCGGGGAGGCTAGGTTAATGTGAAAGTAGTAGATTTTTTGACCCAGCAGTTCGGTGCCGTCAGTACCGGTATGGTATAAGCATATCATTTTAGAAATAAACAACTTGCAAACTACGCAATTGAGACGAATTCTACGCAGATGTACATATTCAGGGTTTTGACAATAAACAATTCCTTTCTTTCAAAACAAAAATCTAACGACCGTTAAAACTTTTTCAGTTCTCACTGTTGGTTAAGTAGCTGGGTCACCTGATCAGTCAGTGAACTTTACCTACCTATTGAGAACAGCAAAAATAAAACGTAATAATGCAACATCTTAGTTTGTGAGTTTCTTTTGGCTCCTTCTTTGGTCTCTGGTTTGTAAATGCAGGCATAGACAGTTTTTTACTTGAAGAATTCTTCTAAAATGACACGTTCAGTCTGCTCCATGTTGCTTTTTTATTTCAAAACAGCAGTACATGAAAGATTGCCACGTATGCGAATAACCGCTGACCGGATACGGCTGATGAAATAAATTTGCACCTTCGATGTGGAAAATTTTTATTGGGTATCAATAATTTAGCGAAGTCATCAAAAAATAAGTACAAAAATGAAAAGGAAACGCAAATAAAATTGCTTGCGTCAAGTTTATTTCGGTTTAGAACACGTTCCCTTTTTTTTCTTGAATTAAAACTGTACACTTTTAAAATTTGCTTCCACCCTGCTCTTAATAAATTTACAATAACCATTCCTTTTTCATACACTTGCAATTTTTTTAGGTAATAAGTTTCAATTACTTAAAACTGAAAATAAATGGTTTTCAAGAGGCAAAAAAATAAGCAAAAATGAAAGGATAACATGACAAAATTTAAAATTTTATCAGGGTAGAGTGGGGACAGTGGGGAGGCCAAATGCTCTGACGTCATAGCCTCATTTAGAAACTACTGACCAACAAAATTGCAATTGCAGCTCAGAAACAACAATCAACGGAAGGAAAGGGAAAGCATCGCAGCGCAGGAACTGCACCCAAATTGTCCATTCTGCGGATTGCGGTGGATAAGTTTAAAAAGAGTAATATGATGTAAACCAAGCTGAGTATTAACAAACAGCAGTCACGTCGAGTGTTTTGTAGCAAAAAAATGGTTTCGTATGTAGTATCGCGAGTTATCATGTGAGTATACTGGCGCGGCAATTTCGATATTATTTCCCTTCAAAATAAATGACAATTTTGTTTCGTTCGTTTCTTACAGGCTCGTTTTCGGAACCCTGTATCCCGCTTATTCATCGTACAAGGCTATGAAGACGAAGAATGTCCGAGAATACGTAAGTGTTTTCTTTCTTTTCCTCCAAGATTTGGATGGAATANGCAATTTCGATATTATTTCCCTTCAAAATAAATGACAATTTTGTTTCGTTCGTTTCTTACAGGCTCGTTTTCGGAACCCTGTATCCCGCTTATTCATCGTACAAGGCTATGAAGACGAAGAATGTCCGAGAATACGTAAGTGTTTTCTTTCTTTTCCTCCAAGATTTGGATGGAATATCGTTCGATCGATAAAATCTTTTTGTTTGATATGCTTCTTGGCTTGAGATCTATCCAAGTATTTTCTGTTCACTTTTTGAAAAGCTACTGAGAACACAAGATTTAAGTTTAGGCGAATGTTTTTTCGTCAGTCTTAATTTGCATCTCAGCTCAAGATTGAGTGGCGTTCGGTAATAGTTCAAGTGTTGATGGTTGATATGATACCAGCAAAACATGCCGGAAAGTACACTTGTGTTTTCAATCTAGCTTGTTAACTGAGTTACTAATCTAGCAGCTGAAAATCGCCTTTCTTCTTAATACGCAAGTATATCTTCAGGTACAACGATCCTGCCAACTCGACCTCGCTTCTACATGTACCTTTTTCAATCGCATGTTTTAAATCTGTTCGTATTGCGAGCTCTGTGAACATGTTTATAAATTTGGGTTCACTGACCGAGTTAAATGCAAGTCTAAGCTTATTCATGCAGAAATCTTTAAATCTGTCGAAATTTGTTATACGTTAACTGTATCTTTAATCAAGGAGGATGATGGAGTTCGACAGCCAGGTTTTCCTTTTTCGTAAGTAAGTTAACGGGATATTCAAATTATATTTTCTTTTACACGCTCCAACGTACGTGCAAATATTTTTATTATCAAAGCCTGTTTTCCTGTTAGGCTAAAAACTGAACTTTTTTTGAGTTAGAGGTCTCAGTTTTTTTTTTTGCCTTAAAATCAACAGATGCAAGGCTAATAAAAATAATCAATTTCCAGCTGTAACAGACACTTTACTCAATTAGTTGTACCTTTCATCTTAGGCAATTTCAATTTATTATTTTCCAGTTACAAGTTTGTACCATAATGTGTTAATTGAAGGCTGTCGTTACCATATTTATTCTAAAACGTGCTGTTTGTGTTGTCGAAAATTATGGCCAGGAGGTTACATTGTTGCAGATTTTAGCTCTGAAAAAATTTTATATCTACGTGGGCAAGCTGCATAATTTGGAAGCCATGGTGCAACATGGAATCATCTAACAGTGCATTATGTTTGTTTGTACAAGAATTTGCATATCACAGACTTTGCCCTTTTTGCTTCAATCAACTTCCCTACCAAAGGAATATTTGAATGAATAAAAAGCCTTCCACAACATAGCATTTACAAAGTATAGAACAGACAAGAACTAACAGGTTTTTTCTAGGTTCTTACTGATCTTCCGAATGTCATTATGACTTGCAAACAGCAATATTGATTGAGGATTCAAATTCCTTAGTCTCATCCTTCTCTGGATGTGTACATAAAGGATTAACAGTGTTTTTGTGTGTACTTGTGCAATTAATTCTAGCCAGCATTTATCTACCTGCTAGCTGCTTAGCTAACCTTCATCTATCATGAAGCGATCTAAAACAGATTTTGGTCAAGGGTTTAAATAAATTAGCTGAGGAATTCATGACATGACATCTCTAGTCAGGATGATAACTTTAAACCTAACAAAGTTATATTTGCTTAATGTTTTGTAACAAAAGTTTTCTGAACATTACAGCTAGTCCATTGGTTTCTACTCTAATGCTGGTTTTATGCTCTTGAGACCCTTTTACTGCTTGAAGAAACCAAAACTTCAGCCCTTTGACTACTCTTTTTGCTGCTTGAGTGATTTTGAAACATTACTTTTAATTTAGACTAGGAGGTAAATTAATGTTTGCGGTGGAAACAAAACATGGGCAAAAAACTTCCCAAATAAAAAAAAGAGGAAATGTGTGCTCACAAAATTGTATTCTGAGAGAGCAAGTTTTATCACTTGCAAGTAGCTTGTGTCACTGAAATTTGATCTGAGTCACTTACCTTAAAATGTTCTTGATTTTTCTAGTTTTCAATATTATGAGATACAAAAAACTAATTAAAGCAAAGGTGTACATGTTTGCTGGGTCTACATGTTAATATATTACTATGTACTAAAAACGTGATGTCCAAGTAAGTCAGAATTGAAAGGTTGAAGTGAAGATAAGAGAAGTGACTGTTCTGCCATAAACGAGTGCTACCTGCTGACCAGACTCTTGTGTGTTTTATTAATTTTTTGCAAATAATTTTCTAACTAGAAATATGTGTATTACAGAACTTCACTAAGGAGGAGGAGGGAGGCTGGTAAAATGTCTGGGATGGGAAGGCAGGAGAGCCAACAGAGTAAATTCTGTAGGGGGTGTCAACAGCGGCTCTGATATTGGAATCTGAGATATACTTAATCTCCTATTGGTTAACATGATTTAACATGGCTTTAAAAAAAGTCCTTCATGATAGTTCACCAGAAGTCGAATGTTGTTTTGGGAACACAAAATGTTCCATGATATCAGACTTGTTGATGTCAAGGCAGAAACTATGAGATATGTTGATTTTTACAGAGTGTATATATGGGCCACCGAAGTTTGCAGTCCGCTATGACCCGCACACTGCATGCATGTGCAACCTTTGATATGCAAGGAATTAAGTTGAGCTGAGTTGGCCCATTCACCAGTAGACTTTGACAAGGTCCTTCATGGACATGCAGTTTTCTTGTCACATGTAAAGGATTTCTCTCGTTCACAGCATGCCAATGTTAGTGACCCAAAAATGGTTGCTAATAATTATTGTAGCCTTAGCCAATCACATTCAGTGATGCTAACAAATAAATTCACAATTTTTAAATTCACATTTAAAAAGGAAAAAAAGCAACTTCAGTTTATTCTTTTTATCTACAATATGATGATTGGATGATCTTAGAAGTATGGAGAAAATTACGTGAGAAAATGCTTTTCAATAAAAGAAAAAAAACCCCGCAGTTTACAGTAAATTTTACCTCAGGTTAGTGCTAATCAGCCTTCGAACGACTGGGCCCTGGAGCTTCAAAAACCCAAAATGGTTTTGGTAGCTGCTATAGACATATACTAGAATGGTTAATAATCTATTCTTGCCCACGGGCAAATTGTGATGATAATGCACTAGCTCTATGGCTGTTCTGCTAACACTGGGCTGCAGGACACTGAGTAACTTGTCTAACTGCATTCTAAGTGATTTATGAAATCTACTCCATGTATAGTGACCATAAAAATATTGTCTGATTTTAAGAGTACGAGGAGTAAGTAAGAGCCATTTAATTTTACCCATGCAGGATGAAGTGGTTAACATTCATTTGATGGACTTTTTGAACTTAAATATTTTGTTTCTTTTTATTTCCAGGTTAGATGGATGATGTACTGGATAGTTTTTGCCCTTTTTATTACTGTAGAACTCTTTGCTGATCTTCTACTAGCATTTTGGTGAGTTCACAAGTTTTAAATAATACTTTGACAGGGCAGGGCTTTCCTAAAAACTGCCATGAAATTCTACATCCTAAACTGGTTATTACAAAAATTATCTTCTGTACAGTAGTGATTGGATTCAACTTGTTGGATCGATCCCTACAATGTATATGGTTCATGTAGTGTTCTCTTCGAACAGAGGTTATTTTTCCACAGTTTAAACGTGGTCTGAAATAAAGCTGAGAGGCTGACTCATCCAAAGAAAGCAGATTTTTGGATCGCCCCCCATCACTGCAACTTGTAGAACACTTTCAGTTAAATGTTTTAAATAATTCTCTGCAGACAAAGTAATATCTATTGCTTTTTAATATGTACTTTATGTTTTTATTAATTTTTGCATTGGTTACTAATTCTCTGCAGACAAAGTAATATCTATTGCTTTTTAATATGTACTTTATGTTTTTATTAATTTTTGCAGTGGTTACTAATACACCTTAGAGTTTATTGCTAGAATTTTGTTTTGATTTTTTTGAAGGGTTCATTCTTAGGCTTGATAATATTATTCGTATTACTTTCAGGTTTCCTTTTTATTATGAACTCAAGATAATATTCATGCTTTGGCTTTTGTTGCCAGCAACAAAGGTAATCAAATTTGTTTTGATAATTTCTTGAATTATGAAAGGTATTAGATTTGATCCATCATGCAGGAACATGTGCTGGGAAAAGTGTATAATCTTGCAGGCTAATTAAAACTTCTCTTTCCCTATTTTTGTTATTTTTTGTCTCAAATAGGTACTTATCTCTACTATATGCTTTTGTTTGATTCAAGTCAACTCTTTGACATAACTACAGTCAAACCTCCTGGTTTAACCACTTCTCATAAGCAACCACCTATCCAAAACACCAAATATTTTCCCGGTCAGATGCTTATAGTTGAAACCTCCAGTAAATGGCCACTTTTTGTAAGCAACCAATTGGCCCACTTTTTATGATGACAGTTTTAGAATTTTCCATTTTTTTTACCTCTTCAAAGCGACCACCAGCTGGTAAAATGGTCTCATCTCTGTGTTTACTACATGTACTACACTTCTCATAGTATGAGAAAAAATCGCCTGTCTTTTTAACAAATTTTTACCATAATTTTAACTTTAGGGATCAAGCATTTTGTACCGCAAATTTGTCCATCCATGGCTATCAAAGAATGAGAAGGTATAAATTTCAGATAAGATTATTGTGATATGAGATAAGATTATTATAATATTTTTAATTGTGATTTATTGTCTTTTTTGGCTTTGGCCATTGTTTAGTATGGAGTGACTGTTCTGCATGGTTTTTTCCCGATCAAAAATTCCTTTCTTAGCTGAAGTACTTATTTTGCTAATTAACCCATTCGCCCCCTGGAAATTTTGGAGAAAAACATGTTTTCAAACTATTCCAGTGGTTTTCTTGTCACTGTTGTGCTAAAAAGATCTAAAACTTACCATAAAGCCATTTTCAGGTCATACACTTTGCAGCCTTCTGATCCAGATGCAAACTATTAGCTTGTGAAGTTCTGGCATGTGCAAGAAGCAAAATTCTGAGATGGCTTCTTCACTTTTACTTTTCGCTCTCTCTCCTCCCCTCTTTTTTCACTTTTCTTGCTTCATTTTTTTCTTGTGCTGGGCATTTAGTAGGCTTCATTTTGGTGGGAAATGTTTTAAGGAAAGGTTTTAGGATCTTAGAAAGGAAGGCAGATAGGAGAACAAGATTTTCATGGAAATTTTCAGGTCAATGTTACATGTTTTTTTGCCGTTATCTCCGGTGTTCTTGACTGAATTGAGCTCATTCTGGTATGGTTTGAAAGATCTCTTCACCATGCACAAGTTAGCAGGCAAAGTTGTCCTTGCCCATCAAAACTGATGATGTCACAAGCGGTAGAAGGGGCGTGGATCTGCCAGGAGGTTATGAGCAGCTCATGGGTTCATGGGTTAAGCAAATCCTTAAGAAAATTGCTAAATATGTATGTGCTTAAAGATTAAGAGACACCCTGGATAACATTAAATTTTAGCCTAATCATACATTTACAGTCCAGCTTTTTTGAATAACAGACTTATCTTTGCTCAACCTTTGAATTTCTGTGCAATTCACAGGATATTGACAGCTATATTGAGCAGCTAAAAGAAAGTGGGTATGACACTGTCCTAAGGGTCAGCAAAAATAGCCTATCTATCGCTGCAGACACCATGATAAAGACTGCTGCCACGGTAATCATTTTCTTTTGCTTTTGCTTTGCTACTGTAAGTAGATAAAAAAATGTGTCTTTTGTTCACAGGGCGGGCTTTGATTTCTTTATTAATTTGTCTCCATAAAATGCTTTTTGTGACTTTGATCAAGTATGTTTCTAGGGTAACATAAAGGATCGTTTTAGGTAACCGTCATGTTGTTGGTAGTCTAAATTTATTAACTTGCATTGAATAAAATTTCCATGTCAATCCAGGGCCAGACTGTTCTGGCGGAGAAATTGCGCCACTATGGTACAGATGCCACTGACAATAAAAGAGGTGGAAGACTTCACAAAGCCAAATCATGGTATGGTGGAATGAATACTACAGACAATGATTACATGCCAATTGACGAATCTGAAGAATACAGCCTGATCGAAGAAAGAGAAGAAGAGGAAGAAGAAGAGTCTGTAAACCCTGATGTGGAGAGGTACAGTTTTCTACCTATATGGTCATTTAATTCTTGCAGTAAGATTCAAGTAAACTGTCTCTGTATGTTAATAGACACCTCCATTACACACTTAGGCAATTCCTTAAAAATACATAGGCTCCTAAAGTCAGGCCCTCAGCCATTTTTCAGTCAGCAGGGTGCAAAGAAGATCATTGTTACAGCTTGCCATTCGTGCAAGCTGAAGTTACCATTTACTAGCCCAGACGTCATTTCAAATAGCCCCAAAAATTTTTTGAGTAGCAGAATTGATTTCACAGTTCTTCCGTTTTATTTGAATTCCTCAAACAAAATCACTTGCCTTTCGGGCAAGTTAAAGACAGAATTCACCAGCCTGATAGCAAAATCCACGAGCCCTGAGCTATCGGAGAGTTCTTTCTTTGCAGGTTGGTCAGTTTGACTCTCTATAAGGTCAACATGTATGCACTGCAGTGTGCTAAAATTTTGAATGAACTTGGCACTGAAATTTTTCTACACATTAATGAATTACTGTTACAGTACAGTTTTTTCAAAATTGTTAGACTAGGAAAGTCCTTGTTCTGGGGTAAAAACTATGAAGAAGAAGAGGAAGAATACTTTATTTATCCATGGTTGTCTCATCAGGCATATCTATAATAATTAATTAAAATTAAAAAAATTAAAATTACAACTAATTTTATATATTACTACTTTACTTATTTACAAATATAAAATATAAATATAAAACCCTGCTTTCCACGAGAGCCGTGCATTACTAATCTAAGAACTATAACTAATTGTAGTAAAATGACCCGACTACCGCAGCCTGGCTTTGAAGCTTTCTAGTGTTTTTGCTTGCCGTAACCCAACTGGCAGACTATTCCAAAGCACCGCACCAGTATAGCTAAAGCTATTTTTCAAGTAGTTTGTGCGGGGCTTTGGAATATTTTATGACAGCCTTATGAAAGCTTCTTTGTGACTCTAGTTTTTGCCAGCCAAGAATTTCAATAAGGGGATCGGCACTAGCGTCATAGCCAGAAAAGGTTAAAAGGGTTACAGTTATCTTATTAAGCAGTGTCATTATTAATTTTCACAAGTTGACAAATGTTATTGTTGTCTTAGTGCAAAGCTGAATGAAGAATTAAGAGAACATCCAAAAGAGACTAAAACTCAAGCAACCAAGCGGTCACGAGGACCAAGTAACTACCAGTCACTCACCTTGCCACGCTCATATGGGGTAAGTTTCCTAAATGTTATGATGATTATGGATGTTCGAATTTATGTATGAGTTGAACCTAATTTGATCTTTTATCAACATTTTTTTGTCTGACTCATACACCATTCAGAGAACCTCACACCGTGCAAGAGTTCATGGGGCAGGATATGATCCCTTTGAGGTAAATTTTGTCTTTAATGTAATTCATTTATTTCTACTTGCTGTTGGTATTTTTAGTTTTAACGGTTTTTTTTTAACAGACCTTTCCTGCATTCTGCTTGGGTGAGCAAGCGTAAAGAAATGAGGTCAAGGCTAGGGTGGACAATTTGATACAAATCACTGTATAATTTTGTCCACCCGAGGGCTCCTAGAAATGGTCAGTGCCTTTGTTTACGGGAATCCAGTAAAGGTCTATTAATAGCTACTTATCCTCGATAAAGTGAAATTTTACTTGATTCCTGGTAAATAGTGCTCTTTGTTTCTCTTCTGTTAAATTTTACAAGTAACTTGGTAATTAATCTAAACTTTTGTTTTCAACAGTCATCAGCACATTCTTACAATCCTGGAGATGTTAGGACTTATGAGGTATGTGATGATGCTCACATTTTATCTATGTTACTACTATTACACTACAGACGTTAAGGGGTGGGGGAGGGGAGGTGACATCGCTACACTACAGGTCATTGCATGAAACATTGTTCATGCAATTAAGTTAATCACTGAATGAAGCCAGAGTGCCCCTGAGCAGCCCTTGGTGACTGGCTGTTTCCCTAACTTTGATGACTAGTGGCATGAACACCCTAAAGAGTATAGATTGAGAGTACAGCCTAGTTAGTTATCATCAACAATCCTGCCTTAATAGCAAGAAAATTAAACTTTTTAAGCCTTATCTCACACAGTATGATTTATATTGATCCTCCTTACTGTAAAGCTTTTGGTTTTGAGCACAGCCTTGGTTATGGACATGACAGTCCATCTTTTAAGAGGGACTGTCCTAAAGGTCCTAAATGTTACGCTTGCGCAGTGTGAGGTTCTGTGAATGGTGTATGAATCACAAAAAAATGTTTGATAAAAGATCAAATTAGGTTCAACTCATACATGAATGTGAACATTTATAATCGTTTATAACAGTTAGGAAACCTACCCCATATGTTTTGAAGAACATGTTACTAGTGCAAAGCTTTGAGAGAAAATTGAATTGTTTTCTTACCAGGCCATTTTTCATTCACTTCTAACTCCAACTCATTTAAACATTGGCTTGTGGCCTAGATACAGTATGATGTATTTTTTAAGTGGCTATGATTGGGTGCTGTGTACTACATGTTGACCCTGTGTTTATAACAGGTGCATAAGAAATGTGAGGCACAAGATACCATACATAAGCTATGCATGGGAGGGAGGAAGACATTGACAGGAGTTAGAGTTCCTTCTCGGCTCACACTCATAATATTATTATTCTTCTGCTGCAGGCATCACTATATTTTTGCATTCCATATTTTTCATGTGCCTGTCCCACTGGCTAGCAATGAATTGTAAACCTTGGCAGTTTTCTCACCAAGATTAACACTTAATTGTAACATTATTGTCAATTTTTTATTACAGACAAGAGCACAAAGGAGGACCCAGCGGAAGATTGTGTAGGCCTCATGTTAGCTTCTCACTTGCTTTCTTGTTTACTTTTTACTACTTCAGCGTGCTGCCAGCTCAAGGGTTCAACCCAGACGAAGCCCCAGGAACAAACAAGGCCGTTCACTTCCTGTTATTCCACATGGTTCAAATGAGGCAAATTGTTGATCTCCACTGGAAAAACTTCTGTGTTAGTTTGAGGCCATCTGTGGCATTTTGTTTTAGATTTGTGGGGTTATTTAATCAAGAACGTCCTGTGAAGTGAATTCAGGATTCATTACTTCTTATTTTAACTGAGCTGAGATCAGAGTCTATATTATTGTTTAACTTAACAAATATACAGGAAAGGTGAAACAGATTTCACTTTCCTCCTAATCTCAGGTTTGCTAGCTTTGTCTACTTATAAGTGGTCAAAGGAGTATTGCTATAAAACTCTGGTTTTCAGCTATTTGCCCAAACTGCAAAACTGTCCAAACACCATTTTTGTTTTGATACTGCTTTGGTGCTAATCTAAAATGACCACCGTTAAGAGCTAGTGTTGTGTACCAAGCCAAAAAATGATGAAAACTAATCAATTGTGAGGTCCCAATAGAGGCGTAGGTATGTCAGGGGCATCCAGCGGCAATTTTTGGAAAACATCTGTTCAGAGTTTGGAAGATGATTTGAGATCTAGAATTTTCGGAACATTTGTTGTAAATTTCTTGCTTGCCTGCCTCTCCTAGGATTTTCAAACATCTAAAAAATGGTATTATTGCCCATTTTTAAGGGATTTGTACCCTAAAAATGTCACCTAGAATTTTCTGGAGCCTTTTTTCTGGCTGAAATTTTCGAAAAGGTAAGTTTTGATCCCTATAATTTTCGGATCACTGGACTTTCAGCTAGGAAATCCGGACAGATGAAAGATTTTTAGGGGATGAAAATATGCCTATATCTACCGTTTAAATACTACAATACGTTCAACAATGCTATGTTTAAGTGGTTTTGAACTATATTCTAGTTGGGTGCCCCTGGTATGTCCCTAGTCTGAATTTCAAAACCCGTCATTCTGCATGTTGAAGAGGAAGCCATGTCCTTTTCAGCATTTTGCTTTTGTATTTGTACTTGCCTTTGTTGCTGACACAATTTCAACCCATCTTGATCTCATTTGTCACCATCTAATCTGACTTATCGTTGCTCTTTCAAGGTCATGTTGCTTGTCAGAATTTTACCCTATAACATGGCCTCATTTGCTATTTAACTGCCTTTTTCTCCTACCCAGTAAATATATGTGAAATTTAATAGTCATTCAAGAATATCTTGGATGCAAAAATAAATTTGAGTTTCACCTGGAAAATGAGATTCTGGCACTTTTTAGAGGGTTTTACAAACTCTTCCAACAAGCAACCCCTTTGTTTCTATAGAGGTGTCCCCTGGGGTCAATGGGATTTCTAGTGGTTTAGATGAAGAATGGGGATGGATTTAATACAATGTACCTTGAGGCGGGGCTGCCACTAGGATTTCTCCTGGTTATTATGAGCACGATCCCCAGCTACTTTGAGAGGAAACAAAAGGAAAATTAAATGGAACAAAGAACTTCCTACAGGTAGCTTTTGAATAAATTATTTTGCCGCCTTGTTAATGCATAATTATACCCAGAAACTTGAAATCTTAGTGACATCCCTGTTCAGGCTGTCTCCATTTGTGTAACAGAATTTGCCCAATGGCAAGCGGTTGTTAGCACAAAGAATGTTATAGCTTTTAATAGTATAAAACTGTGTAGGAAGAATAAAATCGATAAAATTGCTGTAGATTTTCTTCAAGAAGCAGTTACATTGATTGTATCAGCTACATGTACGCCAAACTTAGTAGATGGTAAAGTTTTGAATTTTTACCCGGGAATGTAAAATATCTATTTACAAAATTAATAGCGTTAACATTTTGTGCCAAACTCTACTGCAGTATTGAAAGGTGTATTTTTTGATCAGTTTATATTTTGCCGAACTGTACATTATGCACAACCAGTGTAAATAAACTTGGACTGCAAAAACGTTGTGGATTATTGTGCCTTCAAGCATTGAGTTAAATCTTAGAGGGGTGGATCCAGGGGGTTTCCTTGGGGTTCCCACGCACCTCCCCTCTTAATCCAATTAACTCCTATTCAACTCAGGATACAAGCTTTACATCTGAAGTGAACCCCTCCCCAGGGCTGCAATCAAAATCCTGGATCCGCTCCTTTAGTGTTTGGTGTCCCGAACCAGTCCTGTGCGCCTTGATCTCTTTTCGTTTGTTCCATAAATTAGCATATTATTAACTGCTGGCCACGTGAGTGAAAACGCTCTACAGAGCGATTTTCGTATGACCTTGAAATGAAAACGCGCGAACAAAACAAAAACAGCAAATGAACAGAAATAGAGCGATTTGATTGGTTTATCGAAAGGACACAAACTCGCGTGGTTTTTGGTTGGTTAAGCGAACGCTCGGGTGAAAAAAACTTGATGCCCGAGAACTTTGTAGAAATCAAACGAGACTTCGCTTTGACGTCATACTGGAACACGGTTGGGCAATCGAGTTTATTAGGGTATTCTTTGGCGGGAAAACGAAGAGTCCACGTTTCGATCTTTTCATCCATTGGCTGATAAAACAAATAACGAACACTTGCCGAAACCATTTTCAAAGGTCATTCGAAAATCGCTCTTTTGCGTCTGTTTTTATCTCGTCGAAATTAAAAGAAAACAGGAAGCAGAAAAAAGTTATACATTCCTGGGTTCAATGAAGCTGAACACCATTGGCTAAAACGAACGGATCATGCATCACTTGATAAGAGTACTTGTCTATAGTCAGTCCTTTAGACTCTTTGGAGGACCTACCCTTAAGACCTACCCTTAACCCCTTAAGCTGACGCATGCGCGCTCGACGATGAAGTGGAAATGGAAGGTCTCTAAACAGACAAACTTGTCGAAAAACAAATTACCCTTGACAACTATCAAGACGTAAGATACTCTCTTACATTATTTTATTATTATTACCAGCTCATCAATAAACTTTATTGAAAACTGGGTTCATTAATGGCAATTCAAATAAACAAAAATGAGGAAATCTGGCGGATTTGAAAGAAAAACTACTTTAAGGAAAAAGGATGACACTACACAGCAGAGTTGTCCTCTCATATCGAGTGTACAGGGAGATTTTACATTCCGAAAGGGATCAATTTAGGTTTCAGGGAAACTGCCCACCTACCCCTCCCCTAACTCAACATTTTGCCCAAACTGAGACACAAATGTTAACGTTGAGGTAGGGGAGGGGTAGGTGGGGAGTTTCTTAGGAACCTAAATTTACAACAGTGTTGCATTAAAACATGGTGGGGCCGGCTGTTTTTCGGTTGGACAACCCTCACTTTCGGATTAAGACAAGAATCTGAGCAGGACTTTCGCATTTCACTTTGTTTATTTACATCCTTTAGCGGAGGACTTCAGTGTGGCGAAATATTCGACAAACCGAAATCTCAGAAGAAATCTATGTAAAAAACGAATTTGTGTGTAAGTTACTGACCACATGTTAACCGTACAACTGTCAGTTGAATCACAAGATCAATCTACATGAGTTAAAGTTTTCAAGTTGAAACATACTAATGGATAGTTTGTAAATCTAGATGCCACTAACAGCTGATTCAGGCAAAAACATCATCGGAATCGTTGCAAACATTTTCCTTTTCACTGTTGTCCTCATCTGAATTTATCGCGGAGGTAGCTAACTTTTTGCCAGCATCCTTCTTGCTTTTCCTGTGAATAAAACGATCAGTCAGTGATTTGTTCTGTCTTAAGTGATGTTGCACAAGACGATTCGCAACGATGATTTTTATCGCAACGATGTTGCGTTAAGAGTTAATGCCGAATGCGCTTACAATTTTCTGCCCAATTTTCGCGTTGCAATTTTTTGAAGAGGCTCTAAAACTTGCGACAAGTCACGAATTCCGTGTTTCATGTAACATACGTGTTGTCAATTTTCTGCGCGACGCCTTTTGTGTACCCTTTTCGCTTCCTTTGTTGCGCCAAAAAACGTTCCGTGTAACACGTCCGTTTCCAACGGATCACGCGTGCACAATTGTGTTGCGCTAAAACATTTCGCAGTAAATCGTCCCGTGTAAAATATCCTTAAAATTGCAACGCTGTGTTGAGAGAAAAAAAGGAACTTCCTCGCGAAATTCCCGTTCAAAGACATGGGGCACTTTCCATTCAACACAATTTCGGAAATTCCACCAGCCTGTTGGAACGGTACATTCCGGAGGGAGAGAAGCGACGACTGTAAATATGTCTGGTTATTGTTCTTGTTAGTTAAAGTAGGATACAAAAGAACGTTACTGGGGACAACAATTTTGTCAAATGGAAAGGGCCATTTCGGTCCGACCGACCGAGATAACCGGTCCGGTCAAGGTGGACCACCTTCAAAGCTGGTCCCGAATATTCCGGTCGGACCAAACCAAAATGGTCCGTTCCATTTGATGTACCAACCGAAATTTCCGGAATGCTGGGTTGAATGGAAAGCGTCCATGGGCTCTAACGTTCAGCGAGCGAGCGTATGGGAAACGTTCAAAAAAGAGAAATGTTGGGCGCGGGAAAGCACAGCGATAAGCCCGAAGAAAGATGGCAAGTGCGTGTATACTAGAGTGCGTCACTCTCATCACATGCGCCTAAAATTAATGTACAGCTGCAAATTACAGTCGGTCATCGGAATCGAATCTGCTCATGTCCGACGAAATCCCACATGAAACCGGACATGCCAGCATTTTGTAGCTGAAGACTCGCATAGTAAACAAAGAAACTTTAAAAGTCAATCTAGTGTAAAGTTAACTTTAACACAAACACCTTTGGAACCGCTGTCGAAGAGTGACTTCCGTCTCACAGAGAAGTCAAATGAAGGGAGTAAAGAAAGCCAAGGACCGATTCTAGGTGGCCGTCTTTATAAAAGTGTTCGCTAAGAGAGAGTCGACTGTATTTTCAACAGCTCTTCTGGTGTGTCCAGCAAAAACGGTGACATGGTCAGATATATGTCCTTCCTAATAAGAAAATTATTGCCAAGCCTGAAAATGATCATCTAAAGCACTCTATTAATGTACCTGGTAGATCTTGTTCGTCTTACTGGCGTGTCTTCGCTCATCACACGGGAGGGACTAAAAAAAACAAAAATCAAAACGCAATGAAAAAAGGCTGAAATAGCTCCCAGGTAACTTCAGATTAGGCTTGTCCTCGTAAATTAAAATGTGTGCTGGCGCAAACACCAAGTGTGAGGCACGAGAAAGAGAAGCGCCAGGGCTTGCTATAACTTGACCGCGAAGAACATTTAGAACCTCTCACAAACAAAATAACATGTTGCAATCAAGATGCAGCAATTTATCTATACCTATTCAACACATCTTACCTTAGTTGGTTCACCTCAGCGGTTGATTTTGTTGTTTTTTTCTTGCTCTTTGCTCTAGTTTTAGATTTTGGTGGTCTACTTTCAGTTTGAATTTTGTCATTGTGTGGAACCTCACATGTATTCTCTGAAACTAACAACAGAAAAAAAAAAACTTTTTTGAAAATACATGTACTGATGCATTAAGAAAATGAAATTATTTTTATCCTAAAATCAGCAAGAAAGATTGCACATGGCACAAATTACGGCCGGACAGAAGTACAGGACATGAGCTGCCGACTACAAGAAACGCAAGTAAAAGCCAGAACTCAATATAAGTCATCAAGGTGGCAATCAGCAAGGAAAAACGTATTCCGACAAGACTCAGTAGGCCTTGCCTTAACTGCTGTTTGGTTGACACGAAGCGTGAGCATACCTTGCCACACAAATCCGATACCTTAAGCATGGCAGGTCAAACGCCCTATTATTTAGAAACAATTTTTACACAATCAATCAATCAATCAATCAATCAATCAATCAATCAATCAATCAATCAATCAATCATCGATTTTAACACGTTACGTCAAAGAGCTAAAAAACTCGTTCAAAATACGAACGTGTATAAATAAAATCTATAATAATTACAGCTATATAAAATTATTCAATTTTAAAAACAACTCAATAAATATATACATAGAAAAAACTTGGTAATAAAAACATAAAATATTAAAAGCTAAAACCGACTAAAAAGCCACATACTAAAAACGTGACTAGGAAAACTATAATACTCGTTCTTAAAACAGTTAAAAGCTACAATCCTACTCTATAAGACGTTCTAAAAAGCTACAGTCGTGCAATTTACTTCTGAAGTCATTAGCATCACTTGAAAGACGCACTTGAGAAGGCAAACTGTTCCATAACTTAGTTAATGAATAAGTGAAAGAATTCTTCTTAAATTTAAGATTAAAGTTAGGCAATTCCAAATTCAAGCCCTCGCCTCTTAGCCTATACGGTGTATGGCTGTATTTAAAAAGGCTTCCAATATAAGTAGGTCCCGTACCATTTAAGCATTTCAAATGAAGTATTAACGCCTGTTGTAAGCGCCTACAATATAAGGATTTCATGCTAGCCGTAGTGAGCAGCTCGTCGTATAACATTGACTTGTTGTGCCCGATTAATGTTCTCAAGATATAACAGTTGCCATCTTCGAGATGGTTGCGTTGACCCGTGGAAGGCGATTCTCACAGGAATTGAACACAAGGCTAAATTGGCGTCTCTTCAAATCGGGTCAAATGGAGGCACACTACACTACTTTAATACTTCAAATCAATATAAGCTCACTCACCACTAAGTGGTGCATCTGTCTCTTCTGTGTGACATTGCAGCCTTTCTGTGGGCGCCCCATCTTCAGATGGATAGTCAGTCCCTTGGAATATCTCGGAGGATTCCATATTAGGTACGACTGTTTCACCTCCATTAGTCTCATACGAACCTTCTGTTTCCTGGGCATGTCCTTGGGCCGTAACCTCCTCAGGTTCTGTCTGCGAGGCATCTCCACCTTCTGTATCAAACCGTTTAAATGAAATACATTGTTTATGATTAACATATCCGGCAAAGCAACAACACTCGATAGCCAAATTGCTGAACTAACCCAGCGGCATGATGAATCTTCAAAAGACAAGCGATCTAAACAGTTATATTTCAGAGAAAACAGCAAAAGATTGGAGGTTCTCGCATTACAGAAACGGGCGGACAAACAGTATAAATATGTATTGTTATCTCACTGGTACAAAGATAATTGCAACATGAACTAACTTTTACCTCCCCGTAACTGAGAAAAGTATAAATGTCACTTCTTATCTTACCGTTTTCGGAATCTGTCAGAACCAGCAGCAACTTCTGAAATTTATTTAGTGCTTTCAAAGACACAGTATCCTCAATAGCCTAGAAACACGTATTTGATATGATAAATATCATCATGAGAAAATGGATTAGGTTATTGTACTTGTCAGAGACATTGAAAAATAGCCATTCAGATTCAGGGAGATCATCTGATTTTCAACAATTTAAAAGAAGTATTGTACAAGTAATAGCTAGTTTAAAACTTCTTCTGAAAATTGTGATTTTATATTTACAAAATGTAAAGGCATTGTCTTTTTTTGCGTTGCGCTCGTAGTTGTGACGAAACTCCCACAAACAGCATTTTTAAATGGACCAAAACAAAAAAAAGGTTACGGTAAATCTGGCGAACCCTGTACATTTTGTGTAGGGTATGGGCCTGTGCAATGACGCTGGCGATGATTCAAAAAGAAAACGTATGCATAGCATCACAGGTACCTCAATCATTCTTGCAGTTAGAATTTTCATTTCTTTGATGGTTGACTGTGCGCAGCCAGTAAGGTCCATCATCGTGAGGATCTTGCAGAGCACCCGTGCACCAGGTGCATCGGGAGCAGATAAGATCTCATTGGCCACTGCTAGACTCAGCGATACATGAATGCTAGACACCTGTAAGAAGACATTCTCAATTAGTATAAGATGACAAAATGGCGCCTTTTTCAGTAATATTGTTTAACAGGTCAATTAGTAAGGTGCTAGACTACAGAGTGTAAAGTCACAGGGGCACAAAAAAGATCTGTATATAGTACTAGGGACTTTTTTCTGTTAAAAAGGTGCGCTACTGCGTCGTGTCTAAAGGTAGGGCTCGGGATCCCTTCTACTGCATAGTCCATACTTGTGATTCATATTATTTTATAGGAAACATAAAGAATATTTCCGCGGGAACGACTATTGCTAAAGCCTGCTGAACGGAAGAAGGTTCGAATCGGCTAGATGAAGAAAGCTGTGATGGTGTATACATTTGGTGGTTTAATTTAATCCTTGATTTAAAATTTATTTCCCTTTGTTTCAAACTCTTTATCACACATTATACACAGAGGAAGATAACACTTTATACAAGGATAAAATTGAACCATTAATAAAGACTGTCCAACACCTGTCTATCGTCAAATACTGATTCAACTGTGTTCTACTAATCGCATATGTACCTCAGTGTTGTCAATGGAGTTTCCTTGCTTTGCCAAATATTTAGAGTTTGTCAGTTGCACCAACAGCTCAGCCACGTTATTTACGTTTACTGACGCTAGTGGAGATGACACAGGAGCACTAAACAATGTCTGCAGAGTTGGAAGGAAGGCTTCCTCCACAAGCTCTTGGTTCGTGCTAAAAAATACAGTGGACAGATGCCAGTTGGTCAAATAGTCAATGGAGTAGGTATGTATTGCAGTGGTAGTATTCTGTCTAGTACGGTTTTCCAAATTAGAGTAGTTCAGACAGAGTGAAACCTCTTGTACTTATTGACTCTCAATATCTGCCAGGGTGAGTAGTCGAGCAAAATTTTTCCTCCTTCAGTTTTAAAGCGCTAACTTCACGAACACAATCAGAAAGCGANCAACACCTGTCTATCGTCAAATACTGATTCAACTGTGTTCTACTAATCGCATATGTACCTCAGTGTTGTCAATGGAGTTTCCTTGCTTTGCCAAATATTTAGAGTTTGTCAGTTGCACCAACAGCTCAGCCACGTTATTTACGTTTACTGACGCTAGTGGAGATGACACAGGAGCACTAAACAATGTCTGCAGAGTTGGAAGGAAGGCTTCCTCCACAAGCTCTTGGTTCGTGCTAAAAAATACAGTGGACAGATGCGAGTTGGTCAAATAGTCAATGGAGTAGGTATGTATTGCAGTGGTAGTATTCTGTCTAGTGTGGTTGTCCAAATGAGAGTAGTTCAGACAGATCGAAACCTCTTATACTTATTGACTCTAAGTGGTCGAGCAAAATCTTTCCTCCTTTAGTTTTACAGCACTAAATTCACAAACACAATCAGAAAGCGAACCTTTCGTAACCTAATACTGCAGCTGTTTTTTTTTTTTTTTTTTGCAGCTTTTCACTTACATCAGCAGGGTCCGAATTAAATTTTCTGTTAAGGAGCCTTGGTGATGCGGGCGACACAATCCAAACATTTTGGTCGCTAGCTAATACTCTTTAGTCGCCATTTTTAGCTAAGAGTTTCCTTTGATATTCCCATAAGCAAAAACGTTATTTGCACTCTTAAGTTTCAAGCAAAAGCAATAGACTACATAACTACAAAAAACGACTCCTTCACATTATTAAAAATGCATTGTTCAGCATCTTCGTTAGTGCCTCTCCTTGTAGACCCTCTGCAATTGCCTTGCTGCACTTGAGAACAGGTACATACCGTGAGGCAAAGGCGAATACAGGGAAGAACACACCCAGACAGTGCCTCAAGTTGACATCATCTTCAGTGGTGGGATTATACCACAACAGCAACAGACGTAAGAATAGTTTGGCACTAAGAACACGGCCTGATAACAGCAGCTTGGCCAGACCCTCGGCAGCAACATTGCGTAGATCATTACTCTGTGAAGGATACGAATAAAATCCAAGAAATAAATGCTATAAGGGTGGAATTCCACTTTCTGCAGTGTATGAAAGGTCGCGCTTATAAAAGTTGAACCCCGCTCCACTTCAACACACTTACACATACATGATAGAGGAAATTCACTTGAAGATGCTCAATAGAAAAAATATGGGAGAGCTGCTTTTGTAGCTAGACTTGCATACTCAAAATAAAACGTACGCAACCTCGTCCACAGGCAAGGCCACAGGCCTGTTCGCGCTATTCGAGTGAGTGGAAGGGGGGTTGGAACCGAGTGCGATATTGACAGGTGAAGTAAGGTGAAGTCACATTCGAAATCACCGAGGACGACTGGGAAGGAGGCTGAAAACAATGTTCTAAAATGCAAGCTGTTCTGACTTGTGCTGCACGTATCTACCGGCACTGATGTACCGCTAACCTGGTCAACAGTACCTCACTCTCTAGAATTCCTGTAAGTATGGTCAACACACTAGCTGCTGTATCTGTGTCAGGAGCTGGGATCTCATCGTGTTCATCATCCTTTTTATTTTCAGCTTCTCCTTCTTCAGTTTCTGCTTCTTCCTCATCGTCCTCTGTCCCGGATTTGTCCTGTTCTGAAACTGTGCTTGGTTCACTGTTGTCCAGGTCAGGGACAGCAGCATTGACTTTAAAAGCCTCGAGTCCAAACTTGAGAAGAAGATCAAAGACAACTTGGAGAGCTGTTACTCGGACAAGTTCCTGGTCAAGTTGGGCAACCTGCGAGTGCAAAAAACAAATGCGACAATTTGCTTGATTCTATTTCCCTAGTAAACAGTTGAACTAAAAAGCCAGTAGACAAATTTATCACCAGATCGGCTGGCTTTTCTTTATTTACTGTGAGTGTCTCATTTTTTTTAATGAAAAGGTGAACGCCGCGGGTACGAACGCATCAGCAACTGCGGAAAGAAGCCAGAGTTTAAACCCATTTAATAATTTGCGCCACCACTGCGATGCTCTAATCAACTGAGCAATGACGCCACTAATACTGTGAACAGGCCCCGTGAAACATGCGAATGTAAACTGCAACATGTGCAAAAACATAGATGAAATGAGGATAGGAAATTAAGTAATTAATGCCCACGTACTTTTGTGAATGCACCAAGAGGGGGGAGTGTTAAACCATGAGGCAAATGAAAAATAGGCTTGGTGATCTTTGTGTTAAATTCACAGATTCAGGTATAAAGACCGAATTAAAAAATTAATACTTCTTGCAGATTCTGTGGACGCCACGTTTAGTGCATGAGAGTCAGTTTACTGAAGCCGGCTTTCATAACACACGGAGTCAAAATTGTAATCAGAAGCGCTGAGTAGACGATACAGAAGGAAAATCAAACCAACGGAGCATCCAACAAGCATCTGGTTCGCACTAGATAGAAAACGGAGATGGAAGGAAATGGCAACGTTTTGAATTTTGCGACTCTGTTTCATATGTCACCTATTGTTAATTTTTTCATCGTCACAAGCGCTTTCACGACTATTAAATATGACTGACTCCACTCTCTTTCTAGTAAAATCTAGCCCTTGTTAATAAGCATTACCACTGCGATATTACCTGAAGAAATAGAACAAGATGGGTACGAGCAAATTCACAGGAAAGTAAGGCAGACAGGCCCAAACACCTGACAGCCATGTTCCGCACTAAAGGATCCTCATTCTGTACACCAGGCAGGATCTGGAATTAAAAGTCATTTACAAACTTCACGTTAATACATGTTCTGCGAAAAAGTTCGATTGTGTTCAGAACTCAACATAACTAAACTTTATTGCCAGTTGTTGTAGCTTTTGAGTCAGTTGGTACAAAAACCTTCCGTTGATATATGTTGACTTCTTCAAGAAAATACTCTTACAATATCATTTTGAATAAAATTGGCTGGGGATTGGGGTAATCAACTCTGTTTACAGACCTGAACAAAGCCAAATGTATTACAAAAGCCTCGAATATTAATAAAGATAGAGATTTAAGATTATTATTTTTTAGCTGTTGTACCATCAGTCTCCAGCTGCAAGTACAAAGAATTATTTTGTTAGAGGCTTAGCCTGTGAACAGCTGCCTCCTCCCCACCTGAGAATTAGCTGGCAAACTTTTCAACTTGTATGTGTTTCAGCAAAACTCTAGAAACAACAAACAATTTCTAGGCACCCACAAGCTAGCAAGCTCCTGTTAAGCAGCTCTTGCTGTAAATGTCGAGTTACAGACAGTTACATCCCAGCTTGCCTTTTGTTAGGGTAAAGGGAAAAATTTCGAGGACACACTCTACACGCTCTATAAAAACTATCCAAAAAAACTAATCGGCACCTGCAAAAGAGGCTAGTTACATCCATAGTGTTTTAAAATGTTCTATTAATGAAATGAAAGATATACAGCCCTGTTAGGTAGACGTTTGTTCAAATGGAGAATTACAAAGAGTTTTTTGTAACTCAGAAATGCTCACCAATGTTTGAACTAATGTCATGAGAGTAGGGTTGAGACCACTTGTGGTCACGCCCTGCAGCATCTCGGAGGCAACAGTTAGACACTTCAATAGTGTGTCTGGATCATCCTGAGACAAAGAAAAATAAAACGACTGAAAATGTAATATTCAGTACCAATTCAATCCTGAATTCTTTGCACACAAAACCCTTACAGTTAAAAAGTTACATGTACATTTAATTAAGCCTTTTTTCTGGCCACCACCTAAACAAACTGAGGAACAAACAATGCTGTCCGCAAATGCTTGCTCCATTTATGTTGTCAATCTAGAGGTGTTCACTTCATGCATGTGCAGCTTGCGTAATATGGGCTCCCTCACATACCCCATTCTTTGTTGCCCTCATTTTTATTTTCAAGCATTTGCAGAAAACTCAAATTAATGTTTTCTCATCTCTGCAATTTTCCATTTTTTTCCTTGCTTCATGGGAATAGCACACATAGAAACATATATTACCTTTTCTTCAGACCTGACTGTCTGAGAGAAAGAATTCTCCTGTGAATCAAGTAACTCTTTCTGCTCTTCTAGTTCTATGATCTGCTGCTTTAGCTCTGCTGCTTTTGAAAATTCCTGGTTTACCACACATTGCTCCATTTCATCACGGAACTGGTTCAGCTTGACACGAATTCCAGCAACCTGAAATACAAATGGAGTCAACAAATGTTTTGTGTTGTCACTGAGCTGAGTTTTAGGAGGCATCTGATAAAATGCAAGCCTGACGACCAACCTCGAGTCCTGATGCTTCCCTCTACATCATCTCGGGAAACATCAAGACTCTCGGGAAAACAAAACTAACTGTTTCCCCTCAAGATCAGACATTAAGTGTATAGTGTTGTTCATGGGATTTGAGCTTTGGGTGTTGGTGACATACATGTATGTTACAGAAAACACAAATAGCAGTATAACTGTCTAAATCAGTAAATCGTGGTACATGCACTAGTTCTGCCAGTTAAATGAATTTATATCGGAGACTCTAGGTGCATGATCAAGGGACAACCTTAAGTTCCCATTGTCGTTTTTCCTCCTTGTTTTGAGCAGACTCTATCATGACCATGGGTTGTCTAACATCAGCAATAATCTCCACCAGCTCCTGAATTCTGTTGTTTTCTTCTGGTTGAATATCCATGTACCTGGCATGAAGAACTCCTATTAGCGACTCTGGAACCTCTGGCAATACCAGTAAGTCGTGCAGCATTTGACAGAGGTTTTTCCTGGAAAAAAGAAATGGATTCTTAGCCTGGTTAATTGCACTGCAGCCTTAATTTGATCTTGCAACCCTTTCATTCTTCTAACTGTTACAATACTTAATCACAGGAAGTATTATTATTTTTGATGAATGACAAAGATTTGCTTGTTCTTGCTCTAATTGCCTATTATTTTAAACCTGTGAAGCCTTGTGCACAGTTTGAATATATTTATATGATTCATATGCATGCTTCACTGCTTTTTTAGAGCCTGTTTGCTTCAAACACCTTTGGTTTGAATTAATTTTCTGTTTCCTTTAAAATAATTGGCTATTTTTTTAATATACTACAACTAAAACTCATGTCTGCTTAATAATGTGCAGCTTCCCATACAAATTTCACTTTCAGTTATGTCTCCATGTTACTGTACAATTACTGACACTTGAGGAAAAGAGTAGGTGTAGTATTTCCATTCATAAAATGCTACACTGCAAATACCTTCCAACTTCATCAGATAGGTCAACCACGCCGAGCAAAGTCAGAAGTTGCTGGATTACAAAAACGTGTTGAATTTCTGAATTCTCCTCTGAAGAGTGACTGCATAAACAGCTCTCCACATACCTGAAATTAATAAGCATTTCCATATCACAAAAGCAATTGTGCCACATTTACAAAAGTTTCCCTTGTTGTGTAAATGGAAACCATGTCTTTAAGAGGAGTCTTCTATAGAGATTGAGTGTCCATGTTATGTGTCCTGTGCTAAGGAGGTGTCTGAGTGTTTAGAGAGAATTTACTTACCATTACATGTAGTTCACAGCTTTCACAGTCATACAAAAAACATACCCCTGAATGTACTTGCAAAACCCAGACACTTCTGGAAGAAGTTCATCCAAGAGCTCTTCACCATCAACTCCCATAGTCTTAACATGTTCTCCAAGGCACCTCCAGTAAAATGCTGTCTCAGCATCAAGAGTTTCATATTTGATCCTTACTGGACCTTCCTCTTCCTGGCCCTTCTTTAACAAGTTGATGTAAATTTGAAGATCTTCTTTTGGCAATCCTACAATGATAATCACAGGATGCAAAAACGACAGTTGGTGTTCAAGCAAAAAATATCCACACACACTTTTCTACTCCATTGAATGATATAATACAGATTGAATGTGTTCGAGAATGTTGATAGAGTTGTACATGATACCAAGAAAGGTTTCACCAGTGTCTACAGACCGTGTTGTAGAAGTAGCCATGGCTACCTAATGTTCATTCTTGATTTGTGCTAATCCTGGGTTTACCACATGCTAACTCAATTAAACCTGCTTTAGTACTAATCAGGCTTCAAAGATCTAAGCTATTGCTATGACTTACTATGCCCACAAAGGGAAGCTGGTCAATTAAAAAGTTATTTCTGGGCCTGTAGAGGCTTTTTAAATCTAGCTTGAAAATGCATGTAACCTGTTATGACTAAAAAGACCTGATATGACAAATACAACTTAACCTAACATTAATCAACTTGGACTACTACTACTGGCCCATGTGCACTGAATATGTACACACTGATCAGTACCTTTGAGCACTGCTTTTACAGCCAGCTCAGCTACTTCAGTGCAGCCCTCCACATCTAAACACTTGAGCAGCTGGATGACATCCCGGTCAAAACTTTTCAGCCAACCACCAAGAAGTTCCTGAGTACACAGCTCTTTAATAGAATCTGATCTGTCATTTAATCCATTTGACAGGAGCTGCATTCTCTGAGCAATGGACATTGATCTGATGTTCACTTTTTCTGCTAGAATGCGATAAGCCAACTTGCGCACTGATTCTGTAACATCTTGAGTCCTTCCTGAATAACAAAACCGAAAAAAAAACTACCCATAAACAACCTGAAAACTGTAAAACAAGCTTGCAAAGTGAGGTTTTCTGGAAGACCTTCACTTCTATTGTCTCCAGCCATAACAGACTGGTAACAACAGACAAAAATTCACTTCCCTTTCCAAATTCCAATTAAATTAAAGGAATCAGGTAAATGAAGAACCACTATGTGGACGTGCTACCCCTCAAAATTTGCTTTAATTGTTTATTTATTCATTTGTTTAATCATTTATTCATTTTCTTCTTCATCCCTTTGTTTAAATACTTAACTATAAACAGTTTTGTTGAGCAGTACCTATAACCCCCTCTAGTGTTTGAGTGGAGAGAGCAATGTTCAGAAGCACGGCTCTGCGAACCTCAGCGCTAGAATCACTTGACATGAGCTTTAAATAAGAGGAAATCACAGCGCATTCAGCATCTGTTGGATCCTGGAGTCGTGAGATTGCAGCAACAGCTTGAACCCTCACTGCAGGAAACTTGTCATGGAGACGTGTCAACATACTCTCAAAGATCCTATCAGCAAGACCATCATCAATGACTGCATCATCATCCATGTTGTTCAAAAGTTTGTTGATAAGTTGACAGACACGGAACCGCACTGCTTTGTCTTTAGCTTCATGTGAGTCCAGTAGGAATGTGAAGAGGAAATCAAGGAAGGCATTGCTGGCATTGTCCTCTTCATCATCACTTCCTTGACCATTCTAAAGAGTTGTAGAAAAAGTAGTGGTTTATATCAGTACATGTAACTCTGACTTCTGCAGTCAATATATTGCATATTGAGGCACATGTTTGTAAATCTGTCTTAATACACCCCTTTGGAGTAAAAGGAAAGTGATAAAAACCAAAATTATGGCCTGTAACTCTACAGGCTCCTGAGTCTAAAAATACCTGAGATTGAAAGAGCATAAAACAAACACCATAAACTTCCAATCATCTAAAAGTGCTGGTCTTATACAACCTTGTAAGGGACTTGAGGAGGGCTTGTAGGCAGGGGGGAGGGGAGAGTAGGTTATGTATTCGGGGGTGGGGGGGGGGGTGCTTAAACATCTTAAAATGGGTTTTAAAA